CCCCTCGCCCTTCCCCTCTCCCTTCCCCTCTCCCTTCCCCTCTCCCTTCCCCTCTCCCTGGACTGTGTTTGTCCTAACACAGCAACAACAGCAAAGTCCCTTTGGAGGCTGAATGACAGCTGAGCACGCTGCAAGCCCAGCAAATGGTTTTCTGCTTTGGTATCAGCAACACCTTGGACTTGAACCAGATTATTATAGCTGCTTACAGAAATAAAAGGAAACTCTGCATTTCAAGGTCACCAACAAAAATCATTCCCTGGAGCTTGGCTCGTTGGCTTAGCAGCTTTAAGAGGTGGTGAGGAGTTTTGAGTGAGTGTATTCTTGTCCCCTAACAGTGACCAAACACCAAAAGGAAGGAAAAAGAAAGCCCTGTGTGAACACATTTGGGTTTCCTCAGGCTGAAGCATGACTGAGTTCTCAATGCAGGCTTGCTGAGCTGGAGCCTATTTTAAAATCCTGAGCAGTGGTGCTGCCTGTTGCCTGGAAACCTCCTCCCAGCCTCGGGCACTCTCAGCCTAATCATAGCCATCGGCAGCCTTTATTTATTTCCCTTCCCAAAATGTCATCCCGGGCTTCTGGTTTGTGTTTTTGTTTGCTTGTTTTTTGTTTATTATTTGAAATGAAAAGACACAAAGCATAACCATCAAACTGGGTGACTCTCTGTGGGAACGGCTGCTTGGCTGTCACCGCCTCGTGGTGCTGGGAGCTGGCATTTTAAGCTCTACAAGGTGATGTTTTGGAGGGCCACGGGGGGGGAGAGGAGAAGCAGGGGCTGAGGGGATGGGGCTGAGAGCCCCAGGAAGCTCCCTGAGCTCTGCTGATGGTTGTGGTGACTCCGTGTGCCTTGTGACAGCCTCCTCCTTAGGGGGCAAACCCAACCTACACAGCTCCAAGTCCTTCCCTGGCACACACGTGTCCGAGTTGCCCTTCCTGGTGTGGCTGCACCATCCTGTGCCAGATCTGTGGTTTGGCTTTGGGCTGCCTGGGTCAGCACGGACTCACTTTTCTCCCTGGGTGCTGGGCACTCGTCCTGCAGCTGGGGTCTGGCCCTGCAGGGGTGTGGGGCTGAGCTTTAGCACCTCTGCGTGGTGCCAGAGGAACAGAATAAAGTTGAACCTGGAGGCTTCCCTGTCCTAGGGGCCCTTTTTAACTCACCTGAACTCTTGGCCACCTTAAAACCTTAACTGATGCCAAATCTCCCACAGGAAAACTTTAAATGATTGCTGCTTCCACTTAGAGCCCACGATCGATCCCCATGGATGAAGGGGAATCGAGTGCAGGAGCCCAGCTGAGATGTGGTTGTTTCTGTCCAGGGCCTCCCCTGGGAAGGTGCTGGGCTAAAATCATCTGGAAGTTGATAACAAATGGTACCAGGACAGGCAGGTTTGTGTGTGAGGCACAGGAGCCCCTTTGGCTCTTCAACAGTTGTTCTTGTGATTTAAACGGTTCATTTTACCAAGTTGAGAGTATTTGTTCTACCAAAGGCAGAGCTAAAGGAGGCTTGGACTGGAGATGTGGTGGAACAAAGGGTCCTGTTTTGTTCAGCAGTCTTAGAACATCATTGTTTTATTCTCCTCTTGAGTGAATTGAAGGTGTGACACCCAGCTTAGGCCCTTCTCAGGGTGTGCTCTTGTCTCACAGTCTCAGTGCTGAGACATCACATCCCACCTCTCAGGGGCAGACACAACCAGAGCCAGGCGAAGGGCAGACACTTTTTCCATGCCCATCTTCCACAGCGTGCTGGTAATTAAGAAACCCAAATTTGTCCACCTAAGAAACTGTGATGGTGTGTGAATCATGCTCTGGAATGATGTGTCCTCAGTTCTCTGTGGAAGGGCTGGAGTGCTTGAGGGGGTGTGGAGACAGGGGGCTGACCTCTGGCTTCAGACAGCATTGCTTGGTTGTGTAGAGACAGGGCAGCATCTGTTGAAATACTTCTGCAAATCCAAACTCTCTTGTTCTTACCCACTGGAAAGAGAAGTGGCCCCTCTGTCAGCTCCTCTCTTCTGGGACTGCAGCACATCTGGGCTGCCTTTCTGCCCTTTTTTTTTGTCCCCTCGGATGGTTGTTGCCCTCAGTTTCTAAGCAAGGCTTCCTCCAGGTGACCAGGTTCATCTTCCTTTGGGGGAGGAGGAGACAGAAGGAAGAGCAAAAGAGCATGTGGGGGAGGCAGGAACAGGAACAGCAGAGACACGGTGGAAAACTCTGTGGTCACAGATGGTAAAGCAAGAGGGTTCCTCACCCTGCCTGCACGGCCAGCACCCCTCAGCACACAACCACACTGCTCGTGGCAAGAGCCAAGGGGAAGAGATCAAGTGCTGGGGGGAAATGCAGAGTCTGTCAAGCTGAATTCAGTACTGGAGGATTCAAGAAAATAAAATGAAAGGGGACGAGGAGAAATGAGCTCTGAAATGCACCAGGGTGGGTTTCCCTGAGCTGATCTCTCCCAGCTGCACGTAGTTGGAGCCCATGCCAGTGTTTTCTTTTCTTTGTAGCCTGGTAGCTTAGTACTCCCAGTTCCTCATTAAGATCATTTTTCCAGGATTATTTTCCCCTCTCTTTTCTGTTTTTGGTGGCTGTGGGAGGGTTTGTGCTGTGGTGTCCCAAAACACGAGCTCTAGCAGGCAGCGTTAGGGTTTGTGTGGTGCCTCTGCAGTGCCCCGGGGGGTGGTTATTGCTTGGGCTTGGTGGTTCCTCTTGTCTCTCTGACTCCTGTTTATCATCTTCTCCCTCCCAGAATGAAGAGAAGAGGAACCTTTCCCTGGGGGGCCATGTGGGCTTCGACAGTCTCCCCGATCAGCTGGTCAGCAAGTCTGTCACACAAGGCTTCAGCTTCAACATCCTCTGTGTGGGTGAGCATGCTCCTCTGCAGACAGACGTGGGCTGAGCTGGAGCTGTGGTGAGGCTGGGACCAGGATTTCCTGTGTGTCCTGCACCACGAGCCTCAGCAGTGACTTTAAGCAATTCAGAAATGCCTAATTCTTGAAAAAAATATGTCTTCATTTCAGTGAACTTGAGCTCTCTGGAGCTTGGTGCTTCCAGCTTGTGACTTTCACAAGTGACTGCTGGAGGCTCAGTGCCCAAAATTAGAGACTGTTTTGGGAAAAGCTTTAATATATGAACTTTCTGCCTCTGGTGTGGGGGGAAGGAAATGGTGTGGGACTGTCCAGCTCCACATTGAGCACAGCTACCAGTGCAGAGGCTGCAGAGAGGTCCAAGTGGCTGAGCCTCGTGGGTCAAATGAGAAGGATTTCTGTGATCAGTGGGGTGTTGCTCATCTCCTCCACTGCAATAGCTTTGTGATAGGAAGGGTTAAAGCCTGTCTGGCTCACAGACAGCCTGTGAGCCAAGTATTCTGGGATAGAACTTGGTTTGTGATGCATCCCAGGTGTCCTTCAATGGCTGTTGGAACAGGGGAGCTACAGATGGGAAACTTCTCAACTTGCCCCTGCTGATTGAAACGATTCTCTCCCTACCAAGTTTCTCTGCCATCCCCTCTGGACTCCATGTTCTCTCCCTCTGTGTATCTCATTGGTCCAAGCCAGTGGGATTTTTTTTCTACTGCTGGAAGGATGGAGATGCCTGGGAAGTGCCCTGCTTCAGTGCTTGGCACAGGGCTCTGCTGAGGCCTGCAGTCAAAATGCACCGTGGAACACAGCCTCTAAAACCATCGTCATGCTTTGGCCCCTGTGTCACAGATGCCATGCAGCATTTTGGTATCAGTTTCACTTTGGTTTCCCCTGAACAGTGTTCCTTTCTCCCCATGGCTGATCTGGCATGAAGAATCACAAAGCAACAGGGGCAGCCCTGGAAGGAGCAGAAATACTAAAGAGAAACTCCAGAAATCAAGAGCTGTGAGAGATGAAACCAGCTGGGTTGCAAGGTCTCCATGTGCAGCTGGAGCTCTTCAGGGCAGAGCAGCACCTCTGGCTCCCTCTCAGCCAGCTGCTGTCTCAGAGCTGCTTTGGATGCCTGTGGAAGCTCGTGCCTGATGTGACGGAAAAGCTTGTTGCCTATTTCCTGCAGCTCAGCCAATTCTGTCTGCTGCAGAGGTGGCTCTGTCATCTCAGAGCCCAGACATGCTGTCTGTGACATGTCTGCAGAATGGGACTGGCTTGGACAGTCAGACCCAAGCCAGACCCAGCAGCTCCCCCAGAGCTGTGACTGTGGGAGAGAGACAAGCTGCTTTAAGGCTTCCAGGCAGACCAAAGTTCAGCTGCACACTGAAATCATGAAACCTTCAACCAGCATCTTTTTTGCTGTGAAAGGAGGTTTTCAGTCTGAGGGCAAGCTGTCCTAGTAGGTCCAGAGCTGTCTGCTGGGTTCTCTGCACTGGAATAGGCCCCCAGATTCCCTCCTCACAGGGGTCTTCACTCTCAAAAAAAGAAAGACAGTCAGATCCCCAGAGACTTTAATGGCAAGATAAAGCAAAAAGAGGTAGAGAGGTCTGTTCAAGTTGGCAGCCTCATGGCAAGGAGTGAGAGGAGAGAGGAAACCTCACTGTCAGACTTCCCTGTCCCCTGCATGGCACACCAAGCACCCACCACTTCTGCTGACCTGCAGTGTCACCTGGAGCTGTTGCTGTGCTGGGGACAGCCAACGACTGACCCAGATAGTGCTTGTCAGCAGGAGCAGCTGAGTTTTACTCCTCCTCCCCAAAGGCTGTTAAAATTGTGCTCTCCCCGCCTCTGTGGCGCAGGGTCCCAGGCAAAGTCGGGCTGCATGGAAAGGAAGAGGGGGTGTTTTGCTGTGCTGTGTGATCCTCACCAAGGAGGTGAGGCCAAAGTGCTTTCATGAAGCAGAGGTGGCCTTCAAGAACACAGCCACCTTCGGGACAATTACACGTCTGTCCACGGGCAATCTGTAGCAACCTTTCAGTGTAATTTAGTTCTGCTCTGTAATTAACATTCTTTGAAGTCCCCGTGACAAACTCACGCTGCAGTGAGCTGATTTCTTCTCCTTCCTAGGTGAGACTGGCATTGGGAAATCCACCCTGATGAACACTCTCTTCAACACCACCTTTGAGACGGAGGAAGCCAGTCACTACGAGAGCGCCGTCCGCCTGCGGCCACGCACCTACGACCTGCAGGAGAGCAACGTCCACCTGAAGCTAACCATCGTGGATGCAGTTGGGTTTGGGGATCAGATCAACAAAGATGAAAGGCAGGTCTCGTGCCATCTGCTTGGCATTTCTGGGCCTGCCCCTGGTGCTCAGGGGCGAGCTGCCCGCCGTCCTGCTCGCGGTGTCGCAGGGGAGGTGTCCGTGCTGCTCTCAGTGGAGTAGCTCCCTGCAGTGGCTCTGCTCCTGGGCACTCGGTGTAGAGGGAGTGGTGAGGAGCCAAAAAAAGAGGTCATAGGAGGTCTCTCCAGCAGAGAATGGCGTCCTCCAGGAGTGTGAGCAGTTAACAAGCTGTCCTCAGTGCAGGGTTGGGAATTATCTGTTCTGGCCCTGATCGGTGTCTCTGGGTCTGTCTCATTTAATTAGACATCTTGCTCAAGCCCCAGGTAAAGGCTTTCCAAAGGTCTCTCCTTGGTCACGTTGCATTGCTACAGCCAGATGGCTCAGCCCTGTGAACTGGGCAAGGTTTGGTTTGTGGAAGGAGTCATCTTTCCATGCTCCACTGCCCTGGGACTTGGCAGTGCAGCCTCAGGAGACTCCAGCAGCCTGTGGATGATAAGGTCTGTGCGTAAATGCCACGCTTTTCCTCTTGCAAGACTAAATCATTTGAGCTTTATAACTACTTTTAAAATGATAGCAGGCTATCATTTAACCCCTTTAAGCCTTCATGGTGTTTGATCCTGTGCTCCAGTATCTGGGTTGCTAATGGTATGGTTTTAGTTACAGGCCCATCGTTGAGTACATTGATACGCAGTTTGAAAACTATTTACAAGAAGAGCTGAAAATCCGACGGTCTCTCTTCAACTACCATGACACCAGGATCCACGTCTGCCTGTACTTCATCAACCCAACGGGGCACTCCCTCAAGTCCTTGGACCTGGTGACAATGAAGAAGCTGGACAGCAAGGTAAGGGCTTGGAGGCCGTGGTCCCTCTTTCTGCCAGGGGTGATGTTCTCGTACTATCCGTTGTCACGTGGAGGGCTGTGTTCCTTTCCTGGAGGTGCTGGAGCCCTTCCTGCCTGGTTGCTGAGTCACTTATAGGTCTCTGGTAAAAATCCATCAGCCCTGGGGGGTTGCTGAGGTCCTGTGCTTTTTCTCCTCACTGGTTTTCCTGAAAAATGTCAGGTGGGAGATCTGTTTTCCAGCTAGCTGTGTGGGGTGTCCCTCACTGTCACTGCTGGTAGTGCCAGATGATCCAGATATAGATCACAGTATCTTCTGTGAGTATGGTGAGAAGTTCTCAAGGTCACAGGAATCCTAAAAGTGGGTCATGAGAGGGCCTAGCTGGGGGTTGTTTCTCTGTGCACACTCTGTGCTGCCTCAGGGGGCAGTGGGTTGCTTAACCAGCTACTGCTGAGATTCCTGCAGCTCCGAGGAGGTTTCTGACACACTTTGGGTTCTTCCAGCTGGCTTCCTGCAGGAGGCTTCAGAGGTCACTAGTGGCAGCAGCATCTCATCTTCGATTCCTGTCTTTCAGAGCAGTATTTTGGTGGCAAGGGGGTTCCTTTCAGATGGCAGATGCTGATCAATCTCCAGGGGGGCCAGGCAAGGCAGCTGGGACCCCCAGAAACTGGGGATCCCCTGGGTTACACTGAGGGCACAGTCTCTCCTCAGGCTGTTGTCCTTGTGCAGCTCTGTTGGACTTTCCTGGCGAGTAGAGCTCCCCTTGCAGAGTCCCTGCTGTTTGCCCTCACCACCCAGGGCTGCCAGCTGCCTTTCCTTGCAGAGGGCTCTTCGTAGCCTTGGTGCCTGTTCCTCTGACTTCATGGGGAATCCAGAAACTTTCCCCTAATAAACTCTTGTCTCTTGATGCAGTGCCAGCATTACACGTTCCCAGAAATATGTTTGGAGGAAAGCTTTTGCACGATTCCCTTTGGTGCTGGTGGTCCTGCAAAGCTTTTCTCTTCCCTGCCTCCTGCATTCCCTGCTTCTCACATCTCCCTGTGGCTGCCTTTCATGTGGTCCTTGCATAGTACCAAAATAAATCCTTTGTACTCCTGCAGAGAGAGAACTTTGTGCTCACAGAGGCTTTTTATACTTCTGAACTTCCACGTCAATAGTCCTTTCTGAAGTCATTTTGTCCCTTTGCTCTCATCTCCCCCCTTACCACAGTGTGAGAACATCTCACACAGGCAGGCACATGGAGAGCCAGGAGACACCATTGATCTTTTCTGGGTGTCAGGGGTTTCTGTTGCATTTCTGCATCAGTGGAACCCTCAGTTCCACTGAGCTTTAAGACACCAGTGGGGTGGCATCAGGTGTTGGGGGCAGGCTTTTGAATCTGGGGGACAATTTCAAAGCTGCATCTTGCTTTTAGGGTGAAGTTCACAAAAACCCCTTCTGATGAAAGCTGGTTTGTAAACAGACTCTTCCATTGTGCTGTAATCCAATAGTTGCTTGGCTGAGCTCACAGCCAGCTGCTGTCAGGGTGTTTGGTTACAGCTGGAGAGCCAGAAGCATCTTCAGGACTGGTTCTAGGTAGATGAAATGTGGCTGCCTGGCTGGTGAGTCAGAAGCACCTATGACCTACCAGGGGTTGACTTGCCATTGGGTTTAACCTGGGAAAAGAAGGAGATAAATAAATAACATAAATAAGAGAAATAAAATTGCATCTGTGTTGGATGAGAAGGTGGTTTATTGATTGAAAGCCCAGCCCTGCCCTGGCAAGCAGTGGCAGAGCTGCTGTGTGTGCTCCTGGTGAGCTGTGCATGGAAGTGGGTGTGTGGAAGGTGCTGTAGGGTGGCAGCAGTGGACACACAGTTTGGTTTGGCAGCATCTTCTATCTCATTTGTTTCTTGTTTCCAAACTTTTCCATCCTTTGTCCATATTATAAAGAGGTGAGCTCATTCATTTTGGGTGTCAATACTCAAAATCAGAGAAGGATAATTGTGTGGTGCTCTGGGTATCACTCATTAACTGTAGGATTCCAGTTTCTGGGTTTTCAAGGTGTGCATGAAATGAAAATAAAATCAGCAATAATTTAAAAGGTTAAGGAGCTTGGAAGGGAAGTGGAAAGAAGGAGGGAGCTACACCCAGCTGGCCTCTCCAGGACTCCACCACACTGATGCTGACTATTGAATACTGCAAATACAACAACTTGTAAAACCCTTTTGGATTTTGAACTCTGTGCTGCCTTGAGTTGCCTTTTCAAAGTGTGAGGAACCTGGTTGTAGGGGACTTGAACCAACCTTGGTTGACACCCTCTTTGAGTACAGCTGTGAGCAGTGAGCCTGTCTTCTGGTGGGAACACTGGGCCAAGCTCCAGGCTCTGCACCTCTGCAAGCAGGGCTGAGCTGGTGCTTTTCAGAAGAAGAGGGGAGAGTTGCTCAGGCCATCTGCAAATAGACTAAAATCACCTCTTTTGCTGGTTTGTCAGCAGGCCTGGCTGGCTGGGGAGGACAATCCCCCCTCCCAGCAGCTCCCTGGCAGTGTCTTTCCCTCACAGATAGTGCCCATGAGCCCTGAGCTGACCCTTTTTCTCTGGGACAGGGTAGATCCAAGCCTCCTGAGCTCTTAGCAGGTCAGTGAGGCACCCAGCTGTGCTCATGGCCCTTTTTTACCTTTGTAATGAGGACACTGACCTGCTGAGGAGTGGAGTGAGCAGCAGGCCTTGTTCTGTGTGGGTCTGTGGCCCTTGGTAAAAGAGGCCAGATCAGTGGCTGAGAAAAAGGAAGAATTCATCCTCTCAGATAAATGTGCAAAGAGCAAATGAAGATGGTTTTCTTTTGGAGGGAGTAAATGTTCATGTATTTTGTGAGTGCTAAGCCAGAGGGGGGAGAAGAAGCAAGAACTCTGGAAAAAAACACTGAGCTACAAAGAGAACTTGAGCTGGGAAAGCAAAGTTATTCATTTTAATGGGCACCCAGTGGAGACTGAATGGCTGCTGGGAAGTTCTGCTCTGTAGGACAAGAAGTGTTGGCTGTTGGGAAACATTAGATGGCAACTGAGACTTTCCCCTCCTTTGTCTGAGTTCTGGTGTTCTGCTGCTGTGAGCTGTTCAGACAGAGGAGTTGTGGTGTTTGTTTTAGCAGTGGTTTGCAGTATTGCACGTGGCTTTTCTGGGCCCAGCAGCATTATCTAACAGAGGTTCCTGTGACAGACCCAGCCCTGCTGTAGCTCTCCCAGATGTGAGGCCATAGTGAACTACTCCCCTCCTGAAGGATGTGGGATGTGGCCCTTGTTTGATCTTGATCTTGATAGGTACCAGGCGGCACGGGACCTCGTGGGTGGCTTTGGGACTTGGGTTGGTGAAGCTGTGGCAGATATTGGGCTTGGTGACCACTGATGTGAAACCAAAGCTGAGCAACAACAGCACAAAGCCAAATCTGCTGCCTGGCACCCTGCCCCTTGCCCAGGTGGTCCTTGTACCCTGCACAGCACACCCAAGCTGTGATCCTCAGGGGGTCCTCAGGGTGCATCTGCATCCTTCTCTGGAGGCTTTCCAAACCTGGGCACCCTGCTGTGGGTGAGCTGCTGGAGCAGGGGGGCTGGATGAGATGATCTCCAGAGGTCCCTTCCACCCCTACCACGCTGGGATTCTGTCTGAGGAGTCCCTGCTCTGGCTGCTTCAGCCCAGGCTTCACAACAGCTCTCTGCAGAGCTTCATCCTCATCTCAGCTTCTAAAGCAGCTTGTCAGCACAGCCAGAAGAGGATGGGGGACAACTGGAGATGTGACAGTTCTGCTGTCTCTGCCTCCCTCCAAGTGTGTAACAACACACAGAGGCAAGAGCAGTGGCTTTGATCTGCTCCTTGTGCATTTATCCAGGGTGTTTGCCTTCCCTTTATCTGGAAGGCTTGTAGCCCAATTAGTCCTGGGAAACTCTTCCCTCTAGTGTTCAGCAACAGAGGAGCAGGCTGGTGGTTTTATGGGATGGGAAGCAGCCACAGGGGTAGGGCTCAGGTCACACCAGGGGCACCCTGCTCCTGACAGAGCTGCTCCCCTCACTGAACCACTGCATGGATTGAGCTGGAAGTCACCTCAAAAGCTCATCTGGTCCAACCCCCCAGCTAGAGCAGGGTGCTCAGAGCCCCAACCTCCCCTGGGATGGTGCCAGAGATGGGGCAGTGACCACCTCTCTGGGCAGCCTGGGAAAGGGCCTCACCACCAAAAATTTCTTCCTTCTCTGTAGTCTAAATCTCCCTCTTTTAGTTCCAAACCATGCCCCCTTGTCCTGTCCCAACAGGCCCTGCTAGAAGGATTGTCCCCAGCTTTCTGGTAGGCCCCTTTTAAGTACTGAAAGGCCACGATAAGGTCTCCTCAGGTGACTGCTGCTGCTCACCTGGTTTCTCCCTCCTTCCTCCTGCTGTAGGTGAACATCATCCCCATCATTGCCAAAGCAGACACCATCTCCAAGAGCGAGTTGCACAAGTTCAAGATCAAGATCATGAGTGAGCTGGTCAGCAATGGGGTGCAGATCTACCAGTTCCCCACCGACGACGAGGCCGTGGCCGAGATCAACTCCGTGATGAACGTGAGTAACCTGCCAGTCTCCTCACCACCAGGAGCTGCTCAAAACTCCACCTGAAGGGCAGGTTTCATTGGGATTGTCCTAAACTAAACCTGTTGGAAAGCTGAGCTGTGAATCTGACAGTCCCCTAAGGCTGTTTCATACAGAATTAATTAAAATCCTTATTTAATCTGTGTGCTCTCTAGAGAAACTCAACTCAGCTCCAAAATTTGTTGTATTGAATTTTTGGAAAATGCTTTCTTCAAAATTCATTGTTGGCTCTCAGGCTGCTTTTTGTTTGAGGAGGGAGAAACTTTGGCTATCAATTTTACAGTTAAGATTTACATTAGCCTTTTGACTGAAGGAGGCTAAGCAGAGAAAACCTAATTTAAAATAAAGAAGAAAGGTTGTTAGACTCTGCTTTGTCTTTTTTTTTGAAGTCTAAAGACCAAGTTCAGACCTGGCTGATGTGTGTGCAAAACATTTTTCAAATTTCCTGTCTCTCAGATGAGAGTCTAGCTGTGGCAGTAGAAATGGCTGAAATGTTCCTGTGGTAGTTTTTTAAACAAAAAGTAGCTTTTTCATCAAAATGAATGTTTGCCTGCATAGCTGTTTCTGATTAAATGCTTTGTCTTTTCTTTCAGCCCCTACCTTTTTTTTTTTAAAATTAATTTCAATAGCCAACTAAATTCTGGGTCGAGTAGATCTGTTCTTTTATTATAATCATTCTTTTTGCTGAATTCATGAAAAATTTGGAGGATGAACTCCTTCAGATAATGGCAAGCTGTGTGCACTGGGGTAGAAGAACAGAAGTCATGCTTGCTTGGGGTTTGGTATTTTTTCCTTTCCCCCTCAATGACAATATTTTTGGCCACCTCTCTACCAGTCCCACATTTCTGGTCAGAGAGGAAGGATTCTGTCAAGCTTGCCCTGGGGAAGCTGCTCCCTGCAGTGCTGGGGAGGGTGCCCAGTTCCCTTCCCACGTGTGGCACCCTGTGAGCTCAGGGAGCACCCCTGGTGTCCTGCTCCTGTCCCTGCCCTGCCCACGCTGCTCTGCCAAGGCCTCTCCACAGATGGCTCTGTGCTTTCTGCAGGGGCCCAGCTCTTGGTGTCTGGAGAGGCTGCAAAGAACACCCTGACTCATGGTATCAGATCAGTAATGATCACGGTGTTCCTACAGTATTTCCCCATCCAGCCTGGTCCAGCTGGCACTGCCAGCAAGCTGTGCCTGGCCTCACACTGCTCCCTGGTGTAACCCCCCACTTCTGAGTGCTGGAGGATGATGGCTCCAGGGGAAGGGCTTTTTGAAGGAGATCCTGTGCTGGGGTGAAGGGGATCTAGTGGTCAGGCTCATCTCTGAGGGGTTGGCCCATGCTGAATATGAGCCAGCAGTGTGGCCAAGGCCAAGAGCATCCTGGTGTGTGGCCAGCAGGAGCAGGGCAGGGATCATCCCCCTGCACTTGGCACTGGGGAGACTGCACCTCGGATCTGGCTTTGTTTTGGGCCCTTCACTCCCAGAAGGACCTTGAGGGGCTGGAGTGTGGCCAGAGAAGGGCAACGAAGCTGCTGGGGAAGGGTCTAGAGCCCAAGTG